ATCCTCTAGACTCCTTCTGAGTCCAGGCGGTGGATTTCATGGCGGAGTTGCTATTTCTGACCACCAGTGACAGAAGGTGAAGAACAGGAACAGGTACCAGCATGCGCAGTTGTTTGGTGGTGTGTCCGAGCTGGGAACAGGGCGCAGCAGTTCTCCTTCTTTTAGGAACAGAGACCAGTGGGGTAGGAGTCAGGCTTGTGGCTGTTTGAGAATTTAGGCATCTTTGTGGTGTAATGGGAAATTTGGAACAGAGGAGGAGGGTGATCTAACTTAGGTCTAAACAGGCTCCTTCTGGCTGCAGAGTGGAAAACAGACTTTGAGGGTGAGGAAGGAGGAAGGATGACCAGGGAGACTACTGCAGTAGTTCTGGTGAGTGTTCACGGACCAGAGGACTGGCTGTGGGGTGGAAGGAGCGATTGGGTTCTGGATCCATTTTTTAAAGAAGGGCTGCCTAGATGTTCTGAGTTTGAGGCTGAGAAAGGTAAGAGTCAGGGATGACACACTGAAATTATGATCTTAGCCGCTGAAAGACTGGAAGCTTCATTAACTGAGATAAGATGATCAGTAGTAGTAAGAGTGATTTTCAACAGGGATAACAGGACTTTTGTGTTTGGCTGTGTCAAGATTCTGAGAAACTTGAGAGAACAAATGGGTGGTGGCATCAAGTGGTCAGCTGGACACAGAGGTCTGGAAATCTGCAGTGTGGTTCTGGATGGAGACATCTAACAGTGGTGGCTGGTGTCCTCACCAGGGTGGAGCTGTGGATTGTACTGAGAAGGTGGAATTAGGTCCTAGCAGTAATGTTATTAGCAGCTCAGAAAGAAGTGTATGAGTTCCGAGCCCTGGATCTGTTGCTTGGGTACCTGGTTGGAGGTTATGAGCATCATAAATGCAGATGTGAAAGATAGGTAGCCACGAGGGGAGTAAGTGGGAAGTCTGTGTGGGGCAAGTGATCATGGCAGGTGTCCAGGACTTCCAAAGGAAGAGTAGACATGAGGCAGAGGACTAATTGAGATAAGACACATTTGCTAGAATTTTGTGGTGAGCTTTGGTGGGATGCAGGGTGTTTCAGTTTTGCTGGTAGAGACGTCATGGGCAAATATGATAATCTGTGGGATCACTGTGCTTGGTGTGGGTACCGATGTGGCTGGGGTTTAATGATGGATAGGCGGAGAGAGGAGGGTTGTGGTTGCTGACACAGCCCAGGAGTGAGAGAGGGTTATGGGCACCTGAGTTCTCACATGGATCTGTGTGTCTAATGTTGAAATATAAACTAGAGACATGCAGAGAGGCCTTCAGAGCAGCATCCAGGGCTCCCCTGGTGGTGGGTTCCATCAGAAGTCTTCCTTGGGTAGAACTGGATTCTCTTCAAATTTGCCACATTCTCTGGGGTGAGTCCAGGGAGGTGACTGTGGTATGGGGCAGGGAATTGGCAGTGGCAATGCAACTGTGGGGTCTGAAGATGTAAGAAAGACACATATGGGGAGAGGGAGCATTTATTGATGGCCTCTGGGCCTGGTACAGGACTTAAAGGTGATGGGTGACCCCAGATTTTATTTTGAGGCATGATGTAGAAGACTGCATGGATTGCCTGGCAGGAAGAGATGGGGCGCTGCAGTCCAGTCCTTGAGCTTAGATGACATCTCTCTGCCTGTGGTTGCTGAGGGCTGGACACAGTGGTTAGTGGAACCATGAGGAGAGACAGTGACAATGGCATAGGTCCTGTGTCTCATCTGAGATGCGGAGCCAGGGAGGAACTTGGGCATGGGGTAGGTGTGTGCAGGGTGGATTGTGGGTCCTCAGGAGGAAGGCTGTGGTTTCATCTGTCTCCGTCACGACAGAGCAGTGGGACTTCAGAGGACATTGCCGTGCGCTTCTCCTGGGAGCAATGGAGTCTCCTTGATGAGGCTCAGAGACGCCTGTAGCACGGGGTCATGCTGGAGAACTGTGTGCTTACATCTTCACTGGGTAAGGCCTGCACACCCACCCCTGTGACCTGGGCTAGATGCTGCCTTTCTGCTCTTCCTTGGGGGCTGCTCCGACCTTCCTGCATCCGACCCTGGGCTGGGGGGGGACTACTCCTTTCCTAGTTTTCTGGGTAGATGCTGTTGTTACTGGGACTGAGTTGTTTTCACCGCCCTTTTCCCTCCTTCCAGCCCCAGCTCCTGCAGCCTCAAAGCCTGGTAGGAAGCTGGATGGATCCCACCTTGCTTCCTCTCCCTGCTTGAGTGACTGTCCAGGTCCATGATACCTATGTTTTGCTCCGTTCTTCTGACAGTTCTTTCATGCCTGCCTGTGGCAGGAATTGCCATCACCTACATGCATCGTGAGCTGTTTTTGTGAGACCCTCGTCTGGGGTTCTTTTTCTAACATTTAGTTTTCTTTTCTGTGATATGTCACGTGATAAGTTGCTGTGGGTTCGTACTGGTCACTTCCACCTATCCCGTCTTTCCCTTAGGACTTGGATTTTCTAAGTCCCAACTAAGCTTGCAAGGGCTAGTTCTGGGTGCTTCAAATGGATACCACTCCTGGCCTGGTAAGATGGGCTAGAGGGGGTCTGGCTCTGCTGAGCGAGGACATGACATGGCTGTGTTCACATCATACCAGGAACCTGTTTAAACTAGTGTTTTGGTGCCCTTGCTGGATGACACACCTCATTTCCATCTTTTCTTCCCCATTCTTTATACTTGACCAGCTTGTCTTTTCTTTTTTTTTTTTTTTTTAGTTGAAGTAGTCAGTTACAATGTGTTAATCTCTGGTATACAGCACAATGTCCCAGTCATGCAGATACATACATATATTTGTTTTCATAATCTTTTTCATTAAAGGTTATTACGAGGTATTGAGTATAGTTCCCTGTAGTATACAGAAGAAATTTGTTTTTTAATGCTTTTATATGTAGTAGTTAATATTTGCAAATCACGAACTCCTAAATTTATCCCTTCACATTCCCCTTCCCCCCAGTAACTGTAAGGATTTTTACTATGTGAGTCTGTTTCTGTTTTGTAGATGAGTTTCTTAGTGTCTTCTTTTTTCTTTTTTAGATTCCACATATGAGTATCATATGGTATTTTTCTTTTTCTTTCTTTCTCGCTTACGTAGAATGACAATCTCCAGGTTCATCCATGTTGCTGCAGATGGCATTATTTTGGTTTTTATGGCTGAGTAGTATTCCACTGTATAAATATACCACAACTTTATCCAGTCATCTGTTGATGGACATTTAGGTTGTTTCCATGTCTTGCCTATTGTAAATAGTGCTGCTATGAACAGTGAGGTGTGTGTATCTTTTCGAACTAGAGTTCCTGCAGATATATACCCTGGAATGGGTTTGCTGGATCATATGGTAAGTCTATTTTGGGGAATCTCCATACTGCTTTCCATAATGGCTGGACCAAACTACATTCCCACCAACAGTGTAGGAGGGGTCCCTTTTCTCCACAGCCTCTCCAGCATTTATTGTTTGTGGGCTTGTGAATGATGGCCATTCTGACTGGTGTAAGGTGATACCTCATTGTAGTTTTGATTTGCATTTCTCTGATAATTAGCAATATTGAGTATTTTTTTCATGTGCTTATTGGCCATTTGTATGTCTTCATTGGAGAACTGCTTGTTTAGGTCTTCTGCCCATTTTTGGATTGGGTTGTTTGTTTTTTTATTATTAAGATGTATAAGCTGTTTATATATTCTGGAAATTAAGCCTTTGTTGGCCGCATCGTTTGCAGGTATTTTCTCCCAGTCCATAGACTGTCGTTTTGTTTTGCTTATGGTTTCCTTTGCTGTGCAAAAGCTTCTAAGTGCAATTAGGCCCCTTTTGTTTATTTTTGCTTTTATTTCGATTGCCTGGGTAGACTGCCCTAGGAGAACATTGCTGAGTTGTATGTCAGAGAATGTTTTGCCTATGTTTTCTTCTAGGAGGTTTATCGTGTCCTGTCTTATGTTTAAGTCTTCAAGCCATTTTGAGTTTATTTTTGTGTATGGAGTGAGGGAGTGTTCTAACTTCATTGATTTACATGCTGCCGTCTAGTTTTCCCAACACCACTTGCTGAAGAGACTGCCTTTTCTCCATTGTATGTTCATGGCTCCTTTTTCGAAGATTAATTGACCGTAGGTCTGTGGGTTTGTTTCTGGACTCTCTATTCTGTTCCATTGATCCATACATCTGTTTTTGTTGGCCAGCTTCTCATTTTAACTCTGACTTCTAGACCCTGGCTAGTCTTGACTTTCCTGCCTCTATCCATTACCCATTCCTCTCTACTGCTGCCTCTGTAATATTCTCCAGCATCGGCTCGCAGTGAACAGGTTGTGGGCAGATATCCTTAATAGCCCTTGAACACCACTTACCACGTGCAGTCGGCTTTTTCTATTCCTAGACAGAAAACTTCTGCACGACACTCACGTGTAGTGGTAGCTGAAAGTCATCCTCAGAGGAGGGGGTTGAAAACTGCCTGCCTCTCCTCACTGTGCTGTGTCCCATTCTTAGGTTTTTCATTTTGTGAGGCTTCCCTACTTCTGTGACTTTTTCGAGTCCTAGTGCTTCAAAACAGCCTGTTCCCCATCCTGACTTAACCTCCCTCCTCCTGAATACAACCTTATGTATTCATTCTTTGATGTGTCAGGCACACGTTTGTGATGTGGCTGCCACCTGTCCCCAAAGACAACATGTACTTAACTCACACTTCTCTGTTTTCAGGCAGTTTGTGTGACATAGACAGTGAAGAGGCTCCTTCTGGACAGAGTGTTTCTCTGGAGAGAATGCCACAGATCAGGGCTCTAAAGCCAGATCCATCAACCCAGAAGGCTTGTCTCTGTGAGATGTGTGTTCCTGTCATGGAAGAGATTTCATACGAGGCTGAGCATGAAGGAACATATACTGGGAAGAAATCACACACATGTGTGGCATGTGGACAACCACTCTGTTCCAGTGGGAATCGTCAGCAACAGCAGAGGGGCACAGTAGGAAGAAACCCTACAGCAAGGTCATGGACGGGGCCTCCTTCGTGAAGAGCCGTGGAATCCATTCATCAGGGAAGCCTTTCACCGGTGGGCCAGATGGAAAGGACTTTTAGGCCACTGTGGGCCTTTTTCAGCACCAGCTCACTCCCAAAGTGGTACTAAGTATACACAGCAGTACTGAGTGTGAGGAGGCCTCCCACAACAGAAAAAGTGCTTACAAGTGTGAATGCGGGAAATCCTTCCGCCGGAAACATATACACTTGTTCAGCACCAAAGAATCCACACTGGAGAAGGACTGTACGAGGGCGGTGAATGTGGGAAATCCTTCAGCTACAAGCACACATTTGTTCAACACAAGACAGTTCACACTGGTGAAAGCCCTTTTGAGTGCAGTGAATGTGGGAAGGCCTTCCGGTTCAGATATGAACTTTTTCAGCACCAGAATATTCACACTGGAGAAAGGCCTCATGAATGTGGCGAATATGGGAAAGCTTCTGGGTGCAAATCCAAACTTGTTCAGCACCAGAGAATTCACACTGGAGTGAGGCCTTAGAAGTGTGTCAACTGTGGCAAATTCTTTAGACAAAATTCCAGCCTTGTTCATCCAGAGAATTCACAGAGGGCAAGGCCTTATGAATGTGGTGAATGTGAGAAATCTTTGCCAAAGCGCCAGCCTTATTCAGCACTGCAGAGTTCACACTGGAGAAGGGCCATATGAATGCAGCGACTGTGGGAAATCCTTTAGCCAAAGCTTCAGCCTCATTCTACATCGGAGAATTCACACTGCAGAAAGGCCTTATGAATGCAGTGAATGTGGAAAGTCATTTAGCCAAAACTACAGCCTCATTCAACACCATAAACTTCACACTAGAAAAAGTTCTCAAGAGGGCAGCCACCATGAGAAAACGTTCAGTCAACACCAAAATTTCACAACTCAGGTAAGTTTTATGAATTCAGCACATGTGCAAAAGCCTCCTGCTTGCAGGAATCTACACAAAATAACGGCCTTAGACTTTAAGGAACGTGCTCTCTCTTTGTTCAGTGAGAGCCTCTGTGAGGAACCATCTGCCATGAGTTCCAGGTATGTGAGAAGTCTTCAGGGGCTACGCCTCATATTTTATCTGCTCAGAGCCCTGGCCGTAAGTCACCGCCTGGTTCTGTGGCAGAAGTCATCTCACCTCTTCCACCTGGCAGGCCCTCTAGTGTGCAGTCGTCACCACAGCACACTCAGAGGAGAGAGGTGTTTGCTCTGTCTCCCATTCTCCAGAGGAGCTTGCAGTCTGAGCCCCTAGAGGATTCCCCTTCTTTTCTCTCTGACTAGTTATGGCATGGATCTGACCCACTTTTGGCCCCAAAGATCCAGTCTAGGAACTGCTGGTGGCTTGTAAAGTTTTACCTTCTTCGTGGCATTGTTGGTCTTAGGTGATACTTTTGATGGATGTTCTAGCTCCCAGGTCAGCAACCTGGGAATTGGCTGCTGCACAGTGCTCTGGTTCGTGCAATAGTAAAAGTCTTATTGTTTAAGTCACCTTTAATCTTAAGATTTTTATTCACTATGTGGAGGTGGTTTGAAAACAGTATTTGACTCTGCTGGTGTGAATGGGTAGATAGCTTTCATGAGGGCCTCAGAAGGGACAGTGTGATGTCAGAAACTAGTTTTTGCCTAAGCTGTATTCCTGTCTGTAGTAAAATAAAAAAGTAAATATTTGGTGTTTGTCCCCAGTGTCTGGCGGGGAATCTTCTAAAACCCTTGAAATTTCCTGAGTGATGAAAGTGGCTTTGGTATGATAATGAAATGACTCAAGGTGGAGGGCAATAAAGAGCTTCAGGATGGGTGCTGGTCGCCAGACCTTAGAGCCTTAGAATTTTAAGCCCGCCCCTGACATCTGAGGAGATGGAGTTCAGTCACCAGTGGCCAGTGATTTAGTCAACCAGGCCCATGTCATGTAAGGGCATCTTCATAAAAACCCCTTAACAATAGGGATTGGGGATTTTCTGTGTTGGTAAACACGTCCAGCCAGGAAGTGGGCTGTACCCACTGCACTGGGTTAGAGGCTCCTACACTTGGGTACTTCTGGACCACACTTCTTTATCTGGCTGTTGACTTGTGTCCTTTAAAATAAATTAATTCTAAGTGTAGCATTTTCCTGAATTCTATGAGTCATTCTATCAAATTACCAAACCAGATTTGTAGTTGACCTGGCAGAAGTGGGGGTAGCCTTGGGGCCCATTTTGTGGCTGGGACTAAATCCTTAGCCTGGGGGGTCTGCACTAACTCTGAGTAGTTAGTGTCAGAACTGAACTGAATTGTAGGACACCCAGTTGGTGTTGGAGGATCGGTGAATTGGTGCTGGAATGATGTATTTGGTGTCAGTAAAAGCCACACAATGCCCAAGGCCTTCTAGGAAAGGCTGCTGGCATCGTGGTCCTAATAAGTGGCCTGAGTGCCAGCATTCTTGTAGGCCCAAAGACCACCCAAGAGGGCACAGCTGTGACAGCCTACCATTCTTCTGCAAGTGCAGTATCTAGAACATAATTTCTCCCAGTTACAGTGAGGGAAATCAGCAGCGCTCAAATGATGCAACATGACGTGAAGCCTGATTATCCAAAATGCATTAGGAAAATACAAAGTGCTTAATCTTTCTCTGGCTGTGAAATTATTGTGACATT